CACCGCCGCCAAGTGTGCGTCGGACCTCCTTCAACGGCTTCCTCGGTGGTGCAGCTGACAAACAGGGCGGCCAGATGGCTGGGAACGCTCAAGGGGTCGAAGAGGAAGGAGCACGACGCCTGGTGTCGGTAGATACAGAACATACGGACTCGAATAGTATGCCAAATGGCCACCTCAGTGGCATTGCCTGCTGCGGCGGCAAAGGTTGGGTGAAATCGAACGGAAGACATGAAAGTTTTCTTGGGTTACCTAAATCATCGTTCATTTCATAATTCCCCATTAAAGTTCGATTTGTGCTTTCTGAGCTTTAGTCTTCCACATAATCCTAGGTGAAGACAATATAAAATAAATTCGCCAAAGTTGCAGGTAGAAAATTCTTCATACTAAGCTTTCAGATTTTGAGAATTTCACAGTAAAGTGATGCAAAGTAGTTGTTACAATCAAAATAAATTGAATTGGTTCCCAGAATTTTTCAATGTTGGCAGTTATTAAGAGACGAATGAACGTTTTCAACTAAAAGTTCATTCCATTGAATGGTATGAAGCTTCACAAAGATGTGAAATCCTTAAATCAAGATATTGTAATGTTAGTCGTCATTTCAAAATTTGGAATGTTGATATTAATAAATAATAGAATAACTGGAATATTACCGAATAAGAACAAAAGTGTTAACAGCAAGGAATAAATTATAATTCAATTAGGAGTAAAATTTAAAGATAGAAAGATGAGTTGCCATCTCGCTTGAAATGACGGAATATTATTGGAGTAAGTAAACGTATGGTGAACTAAAGTGGTTTTTGACAGAACAATATGAAATTTTTTCCGACGTCAAATAATGAGATATTATTTTGGCGAAGATGTATGAAGAAGTTGGGAACTATCGAAGTGAACTATGAACTATGAAGCGGTCAAAAAATTATGCACCAAAAATATCGTAAAGAAAAAATGGAGGATAACCTTTGCCGAATTAGTGTTAAAAATCAGACTCATTAAAAATCCAATAGAAACACATTTGCGGGGAAGAAGCGACATTGTGAGTACACTGTGCTCTCGTTCGTGGATTTGCAGATTATCAAGTTTTTGTGTATATATATATTATATATATATATATATATATTATTATATATATACTATTATGCTTTTCTTTATAGAATATAATTAATTTTAAACCAAACCAGACATGGTAAATTCGTTATAACGTAAGTAAATCATTTTTATCAACTTTTGAAAAATATTCATACCGTAATACGAAGTAACAGATACTCAATAATGGTGAAAAACACTTCCTAACTGATTTCCACTTTAATTGCATCATTAAAATCAATTACAAAAATAATCTACAAATGAGTTGTTGAACGGAAAGAATGCTCACCCCGCATGCAGGGTCGTAGATCTCTAGATGCTTTGGATGATCGATGAATCCAAAGTGTGGGGAAAACCCAAGGTACGGAGCAAGGCGGGCGTGTCGCAACTCACCCACGTTAGCCGGTGTTTCTTAAATGAAGAAATTTAAATAAAGTATATAAATACCAAGTAAAATAAAAACAACATAACTTTCAACAAGCCTACATCAAACATTCGTCATTAAAAACGAATCATATTTTAAACTTAGTATGCGGTCAAAGCACGGCCGCCCGTAATAGATACAGATAAATTCCAACTAGAACCAAGGTAGTATTTTACGAGAAGTCTCCGTACGTAGCTGCATGAGCTTGCGACAACCTGTATGTCCTACACCTGAAATAAATAGCCAGGATTACTGCCTTTTTTCCCTCGAAAAGTCCTCATTTCGCGTTGCGCTGCCCAGAACTCCCAGTCACCCCTGCAACCTTATTAGGCGCGTGCTGCTCCCGAGAACAAATCACCGGGGCGGTTTTTTTATCGCCGGATCGTCAAGTTTCGCGTGACTGAATATAAATAAAGAGGGCGTCGCCTCAGTCACGCGGTATTAATTGCAGCGCTCATGCAACACGGCGCGGGTGGCCTGCTTCGTCGTTTCTTCAGTTAGCGGCGGATGGCGGCTCATTACAGCTTAAATGGGGTCTTCAGGAATAACGGTTTGAGAATGTTCCCCATTAGCAGCGAAAATTTATTTTTTTTAATAAAATAAAAAAAAAGCGTTTGTCTTTATATTCATTGAATTCCATCGTAAAAAGATAAGCATGACTACATTTAAAAAACAAAATCTTTGCTTATTACTAACTAACATTGTTTATTACTAGTTCTAATATTTTTGACTGAAACAAGCCTAACAATACCTAACAATTTTTAAAACTCAGTTATAAAGTTATTACTGCTTATTTAATATTTTTGAATTATTATTATTATTGTACCTTATTCTCAGAAGCCATTTTTGCCAGTATTGGATGTATTATTTTTTCATAAATGGATACTGTTATATCCTAGATTGATAAAATCCGATACCAATTGACCGATCCGATCTAGTTGGCATATCTGCGCGTTTTTTCATGGAGGTTTTTACGCTGTTGACATTGTTGTAATTTTATATCGGATGGGGTTGTATCATTTCATGACGCTTCAGTTAAATGCACGGGCGACATTCTACAAGTATATTATTATTGGAAGGCAAGATATAGTTCAGCATTTACTGAAGGGTGCTCAAAAATGCTTTTTTTTCAGCTCGATTTATTCACTGTATCCTGTGTGAAACGGATTACATTTTGTACAACTTTTTCGAATTTTTGAATCAATATTAACCTTCAGGAGCTCTATATAGCAGCGTATTTATAGTAATGATAGTGCAGCCTTGCCACTTCTTGCGGCCTCGCATCCCGCCACAGCATTCGCTCACGCTCTCTTCTCCGCTTTCGCCACGCCTTCCTCAGCCACCGCCCCCGTCGCCGTCTCCGTCACGCCCGGCGCCACCGCCCACGCTACTCGTGAGTTCGTGCACGGCCGCCTGCATCACCACTGCTCCGTGCCCACGCCCCCCCCTCACATCCACCTCCATCGCCACCTGTGCCATCGCGGATTCCGCCGCCTCTGCCTCCGCCACCATCGCTCCCGCTCCACCGTCCACCGCCGCCGTCCCCGCTGCCTGCACCGCCATCACCGCCATCATGACCCCGTCTCCACCGCCACCGCAAGGCGCTCCTTCCCTGGGATCGCGTAACAGCGACGCCTCACGTAACAACAGAGCGTGACCGCCAGACGGTGCAGCGCTTCTCAAACGAAGGTGCATGAACCTCCAAACTAGAAACGAGCGAGCGGTGTCTACTCCAGGTTCCTCGTAATATTCGAAACAGGTCCTTTTTTGTGTTCTATTACATTTCAAGGAATCTCTTTAAAAAGGTTATCAAAACCGTTCGAACATGTGATTTGAACGATGATAAAAAAGTGCAATCCTTCGGTGGTTGCACTTTTCTTGTGTGAAAATTGAAATATTTTTGGCCCGTCTATTACGTTTTTGAAGCGTTCCGGCTCTTTTCTCCATAAACTAGATATTCAAAATTTTAAATTTCATCCGCCAAGGGACTCATTATTCACTGCCATCGGGTTCAGGAAAGTAGTATTCCTAGCAAACAGTTCCTTGAATACATTTCAAATTTCCTTAATCGTGTGAGACAATGTAGGAGGATCAACTGGAAGAAAATGTGGAAACCATGCGAGGAAGCATCTGAAGAACATATGGGGAACCTGAGGGGTATGTGGACGAAATGTAGGAAACGTGGAGAACATGCGAGAAATGTGCGGAAACTTCTGAGGAGAAGCGAGAAAACACGGAGACATGTGGGGAACATGCAAAGCGACAAGTGGTGGAGCGATACTGAATGCGGCAGCGAATGAAACTTTTTTTAGACACACCATACATAGGACAGGTAGTGGCAAATGAACAGAATGTAGAAAACGACGTAAAGGAAAATTTACTATTTTATATATTTGAGCAATTTAGCTGCAAGTAGGGTAAGTCGTTGTGTTTGTTAAACCTTGGCAAATTTAGAATTTTAAAATTTCAATTGTTACTACATAGAGCTTTAACAAACTATTCAGAAGCAGACCGTTGGAAAATGGAGTCCAATACGAACCGATTTCCCAGTATTTTACATACCAAGTTTACAAAACAAAGTTCGCACGGGTCCAACTAAGCCAATATTATTATATTATTATTATTATTATATTATTATTATTATTATTAATTATTATTATACTTGGCATTTTCGGCCAATAGTCCGACTTTGTACATGTACCCAGGCCTAGGCTTACTGAAATTCTCATGAATGGGGGGAAAACGATACGACGTATTCAATGTAATTAGCAAACTCATCTGCTTGAGGTTCTTTCGTCATACAACAACAGAAACTGGGCAACATCACGGAAAGCTAATACGCCGCCCACGAGCACCTAGAGGCTATAATAATAAAATAATAATAATAATATAATAATAAATATAAAATAATAATAAATAAAACTATGGTATAATCAACATAATTATTAAATAAATATTATTATTTATTATAATCAATAATAATAGTATTATTACTACAACTCTAAAGAACATAACTAATACGTATTGATTTCGCAGTTTGCACGTCCCAAATAAGAACGACTAATGTTCGCCCGACTGAACAAGGCGCGCGGTCATTCTCCCTCTTCCTATTGACGCCCCCCCCCCTCCAGTCCGAACGAATGCAGCTGTTGACGCACTCTCAATAGACAGCGGCAGCAGCAGCCGCCGCCGCAGCCGAAAAGTGCGCGGTGGGCTTGTGGTCCCCGCGGAGGCAAGGGCAGCTGCGGCGGCCGCGTGTCGCGAGCGCGGGCAGAGCCCATCTGGGCAGCCGCGGCGCGGTGCGGCGGCGTCGCGACGCCCTACGTCGGCCACCGGGCCGGATGCCGGCCATCTGCGCGCCGACGCGGTACGGCGCGGCCGTCGTCTGTTCGCGGGCCCGCGACGCGTACGCGAGGATTGTTCGATTCCGGCGAGCGCCGAGGCCGGGCCCGCGGATTGCTGACGTACATTGGGGAAACGAACCGCTTTTCGTTTTATTCGACCTGGCTTGCTAGTAGGGGGCGCTTTGCTGAGTCGCGTGAGCGATTATTTTGAATTTTTTTTCTGCCCAATCATATTTGGGGAGTGGTAAGTGAGCAACGTGTAGAAATTATTTGTATTAATTTTAGAAATGTGGTTAATATGTGCTCGGGCTTTCGTACTCCCTATTATTTTGTAATTTCGCTAACTGGAGGTTGCTTGTATGAAATCAATGCATTACTTATAAATGCGAACTTAACTATTTTTTTTACTCCTTCCGAAACACCAGATGAGCTAAACAGGCTGCAGTCGGGATATGTCTTCTGAGACAACGAAAGTGAAAGGGGATTAGCTGGGAGCGATGATGAGGGGGACTCTGGTCGCGGGATGCAGTCGGGCGATTCTCTGATCTTCGTCCTCATCCAAATAAGGGCCCATCTTCTCCCGAACAATAGCAACCAACGGATAGGCGAGGGCAGATAGAAAGACAGCGACTGAACCGGAGGCAGGACTCGCGGTAAAAACGGATTATTCCGATCCGTAATAGGAAAGCTTAAAAAGGTATTATCACATTTAAGAGGTATCCTCATGTTCTTAGGTCTCAATAATCAAACCCGTTCTCTGGATTTCTTTAGAGCGAGCGCAATTATCGTCAGATGATAAATTCTTTAATTACAGCGTAAGAAGCCAACCGAACAACACGACCGCACTCCCTACCTGCTGGAGCATACCCAGCGCGTGACCTCGGCTAGTGCGCCGACGCACCTGCGATGGATTATTCAAACACGAAATCGGGCCGTTATAAATCGATACTAATTATCGATAGTTTAAAAGTGTCGAGAGTAATATCCTGCGGCGGCGGCGTTGGCTGCTAATGCCGTATCGCGCGATCCATCGACGAACGCTAATGCGAGCACAAAATTGCGAACGCAGCGGTGCGGAAAATTACTCCGCGGCCTGGGCACGCCGCGACGGTTTTATCGGCGCGCGCCCAAAAAAGCAGTGCGCCCCGCGCCGCTCGTTTCCTGGATTAGCGCGCTCGCGCCCTAACGACCCAGCGACAGGTCGGCGGCTGCGTCGAAAGTTTCCTGCGATTAGCATACAATTAATTGATGGCGTTTATTTATTAACTAATAGGAGATGGAGGATTTAGAACCGGATTGTCCGGTGCGGAGTGAAGCAATGCGCTGGAGTAGGCTAGTTCGGAACGGAAATTATGGGCGTCGGAACATCGACAGGAAAAATGATTTATTTTTTTTTGCACTTTCTTCTGGATAATTTCATTTTTGTCAAGTATGTGCAACTTTGATGCAAAATGTTATTCAAAATTTCAATAGGAGATTGATTCTGAATAGACAATAATGAATGACAAAATAAATGAAATATTAAGAAATATTTCTGCCTACACTAACATTAATGTTGATCGTTCAGCTTCAAAAGATATTCAGCTTCAGATATCAGAAGTAAAACCTGTCTTCTATTTTTCAGTGTATTTTGTCCTGTATTT